CAAAACAATTTAATTCTGAAAAATCTAAGAATTTTTTGTCACAACATACCTAAGTCATCATATCCTTAGCATGATAATGATCTTCATCATATGATTTTACAAGACAAAAAAAAAACTGTACTTTGCACCAAAGAAGAAATTAAACTGATTTATGCAGAAGTTAAGTTCTTGGCAACATTATAAGCCCGCTTAAGTGAAAAATCCTACAGAAAACTGGTCTGCCAGGAAAATGCAGATATAAACTTAACCATTGAGACATAACAATAATTTAAAATCAGATACTGTATATATCCTCCCAAAAATGTAATGTCAAAACACCTCCATATAGCCTGCAAGCAAACAGGGGAAAGTGGACATTTTATTTAGGAAAGAAGTTCAACTTGACTGAAGTTCTGGAGGAACAGAAGGGATAGGATCACACTTGTTTTTTCCTCACATGTTGACTTCACAATATTTGAAAGAGATTTTAAAAGTAGCAACCGGGGTCATCTAAAACAAGCTGTGAACTAATGTGCTATAATTATAAATGCCCCCAGTCTAAGAAAAACTGCTAAAGAAGACTAGATATCTGTATACTTAGTGGAGATATAAGAAACTTTTATTCAATTTACATATTTAAATAAACTAACATAATGCAGCTCCCAACTTCACCAAAAATTGGAACATAGTATGATTCTCTGAATTTTGTGATATACTTTTTCTAGTTCAAAATGCCTCTAAAGAAGAAACCTAAAAATTCCCAGGTGACACATGAATGATAAATAGAATGTAGTATGTTTTAAGTTGCAGACTAATATAGAAACGGGGTGGAAAACACTAATGACTGAAAATAGCAGATGCTATAGATTGATTCTCTGTGTTTAGCACATGGACACAAAGTTCTAGCTCAATAGAAATGCAAATTCAACCTGTTAGCATAAAAATAGAGCCCTCCCCATATGATATGTATATATGTTTATGCATGTGTGCAACTGTAAGATACAGAGAGAGAAAGAGATGCAAACAGTAGCAAAAGACCAGGTCCACATGTGAAGTTTCAATTTAATTGATTTATTGCTAAAAGCCTATGTATATGAATCTTCTCAACCAATGGTCATCACCTGTTTGTAGTTAGATAAGGATAACAGCGATGAAGGCAGGGTTGGACTTGTTTGTGGCTATGTAACAATTGTAGGTTGATTCCTCTTTGTACTGCTGCACCTGGCTCTGCCATTCCTTCACAAACAAACACACTCTCCCCCTATACCCGCCAGAGAAGGTGGAGTAAAACAGTAAAGTATAAACTTGATTTCCTTCTCAAACTAGAATTGACAACAATTTGAATGAGTTCTTTCTTTGTGACTAGACTGAAAAAAGTGGCTAGTGATACATAATTTCAATTTATACTAATTTAATTATCAGTTGTTCAAATTTGTTTAGCCTGTTGATTTAGCTGAAGAAAGCTTTGTCCTTTTCCATATGATAAATCTGATTAATTGCTGCAAAAATAATATCATGGAAGCAAAGACATCTGCAATTGTTTTCCAATACCCAACATCTCATAAACTATGTCATGTAAAATAGCTTGCGTGACTGTGTGATTTGATAAGCAGGTAAGGGCAGGAGTAGAAAAATATCTTCAGTTTCTTTATCACTAAAGAGGAATGAATAGATCTGCAAGCACATGAGTCACTTCATCTGTGAATGAACCCCAGTGAAGTATGACTCCTATGACAAGCCTTTGGGGAAATTGGAAGAATGAAGAGTGGTGACTATGACCTTCCCATATGACAGCTTCTGACAAGTCCCAGTACAGTAGCTGGAATTCATGATACTTTCAGTTTATTGCCAATACACTGTATTAAGCAATGCTTGACTTATGCTGAGTGCTTTTACTTCCAACTAACTTCTTTGTATATTCAGAGTAATTTATATATTTTTTTCATATTGGATGAATCCATTCTTTTTATAGGATCTTCAGGAAAGCAAAAATATTGCACATGATTGTAATTTAAATATTAAATATTAAGAATATCTTTTTTATCTGACCACAATCCTGTTTTAGTATTCTGTGAGTACAATAAATTTTGCTAAGTTATATCCATCTGACAATCAATTTATTTTCTCAGATGCAACAAGATACACAAGAATAAACATGGGTGGTATTTTTCTGGCTCAACCATCTTAATGGATTGCAAAACAATGCTTATATTCAGATTCAAATGGTTTGGTTTGCTAAGAGCAGAAAACTTGGGAAAGACGAACTGACTAAAATTGTTTGACCCACAAAAAAAAAAATGCTTTATTTGGTTCATTTCCAATCATACCCTTCTTTATACAGTGACATGATATGAGGGAACAGTCACTGAGCATGTGCAAACGTTATATAAGATCCTATTACAAACAGGAAACAAAAACATATATGCTCTGGCTGCCATAATTTAAAATAAATATGCTTAAATTCATTATGCTAAATGCATGTGAAATTCAGAACAGTCCTATAAGCCTTTTTCCTAGTACATTGTATATTTTGTGACTTAAGACATTGAAATGTGAATAGCTGTTTTGTGAATTTATATAGCCAAATACTATTTGTACATAGTCTTAGTCAGAAACTTAACAGAACAGAATAACAGAGTTGGAAGGGACCTTGGAGGTCTTCTAATCCAACCTCCTGGTCAAGCATTCCAGAAAAGTGGCTGTGTTGCCCTATTGGTCGAGGGTCTTCTTAAAAACTTCCAGTGATGAAATAATCATAACTTCTGAAGGCAAACTGTTCTACTGGTTAATTTTTTCTCCCTGTTATGAAGTTTTTCCTTAATTTGCTTGTTTCCTTGATTAGTTTCCACATATTGTTTCTTCTCTTGCCTTCTGATGCTTTGAAAAATAGGTTGACCCTCTCTTCTTTATGGCAGCCCTCAAATAGTGGAACATAGCTATCATGTGACCCCTATTCCGGGGTGGGCTGCTGGGGGTTCACAGGGGTTCAGGAAAGCCCCTAGCTAAGATTCTGTGCAGTTTGAAGAACTCCCAAATCCCACTCCTGGCTGACCCTGCCCACCCCGCCCCTCCCAGGAGTCCCCAGGAAGCCCATTTTGGATGCAGGTAAGTGCAGGGCATGCCTGGAAGCTTGGGGAGACTGAAAAATATGCCTCCCAGAAGCTTTCAGAGAGCCCCTGGAGGCCGGGAGGCTATTTTCACACTCCCAGAGACTCGAAGAAAGCCTTCAGAGCCCGAGGAAGGCAATACCGCTCCCCCCACTGTGGTGCAGGAGGCCAACTAGGCCATGCACACCATGGCCATGCCCACCCAGCAACCAGGCAGAACACCCTTTGCTAAAAATTTTGAAGCCCACCCCTGACCTATTCCTTCTTTTCACTAGACTAGACATTCCCAATTCCTGCAACTGTTCTTCATATGTTTTAGCCTTCATCCCTGTAATCCTCTTTGTAGCTCTTTTCTGCATTCTTTTCAGTCTCAACATCTATGAATATAAATGTAATTATGCCTAAATCTTGAGCATATATTTTAATACTGAATTCTAGTCACTCTAATTGCACATAGAAGGCATTGGACACAAGGTATAAAGCTCTTATATTAAACATATTCTTTGCATTCAGAGTTGTTATATTATTTGAGTTTTAGATACTGGATACAGTTAATACTAACTTGTTGCATTCTTCTCCAACTTGTAAGTTTCTCAAGTGTATATTCAGTAAGTAGTTGGTAAAAGGTACTAGATCTGATGAACACTGCTTCAATTGAATTAAAGTGATTCAATTCCATCTTTGTCACCATATTATGTATCTGAATCAATACAGCTATGCAGAATTATATCGCCTATAGTTTGTATAGAGAATGATACACTAAAGATGACCATCTGTCAGTTTATCTTTCACCATAAACATTTATAAAATTAAGGCAAATTTGTGGCTAAATTTGTATTAATTTTTCTCCATATCTATGCAAGGACATTTCCACATTTCAACTCACATCTCTTTTTGTCTATTAATAGTTGTGTTCATGCCAGAGAGCATTGCTAAGTTATTTAACTATCTCATCACAAATGTAGCATTATTTTTTTTAAAAATATAACACTTTTTATGTGAATTTACTCAGTTTAGCAGTTATTTGTGTCTTTTTAATGTGATTATGGGTAGTTATGGTTCCACCATAATCCAATATATTCTAGATTCTACAACCTGCCAAAATATATATTCACAATCCAAAGGCTATATAAATTAAAAAATATTTTCCCAGTGGGCAGAAAGCCAATACTAGATAAAGTCCAAAAATTAAGATAAAGCTGTGAAAAAATATATACTTGTCCAAATTTTCATTTTACTTTTTTGTTAACAATTAATACATGGACATATTTATGTGGGAGAAGATAAAATTTAAAACACCTGACTTAAAGCCATCTTGAATTTAACAATGCTTTGAATTGAATTTGAACACATGTTGAGAATCACTGCATGTAGTCTGGTTGACCAGAAACATGCTCATTTGGGCCATCAAGTCTAACCTTCTGCTCAGTACAGAAATCCAAATTAAAACATCCAAGTCAGATTACTTTGTGGCGTCCATTAGTACACATTCAATAAGAGGACTGAGCAATTCTGTAGATAATTGGTTCTACAGTAGATTGCTCTTGCTATTAAGATTGTTTTTTTGTTCAAACTTTTATTCATTTCTTACATTTCTGTTACTGTTATGGGTACATTTCTATACCCATTATTCCAAGTTCATTCTGCATTCCAGAATGAACTTCTTATGTGAAATATCCTTTGACATCTCTTGTGATATAGTTTAATGTACAATTTATCACAATTTCAACGTGGAGTTATAAGACCATGGCTGCTTGTATATTCATGAATGGAGAGAGAGAGATTTTGCAGGGTTTTTTTTCAGAGGCCTTCAAACTTGGCAACTTTAAAACCTGTGGACGTCAACTCCCAGAATTCTCCAGCCAGCATAGCTGGCTGGAGAATTCTGGGAGCTAAAGTCCACAAGTCCCAAAGTTTTTATTTATTTATTTATTTAGGTAGAATATTCCAGACATTTATCACTCTGTTGCTGAAGTCATATTCCCTGCAATCAAGTTTGGTGCGATTAACCTTGAGTTTGTATCTATTGTGTGCTCTTGTGTTGTTATGGCGGAAGCTGAAGTATTCATTGACAGGTAGGACAATGCAATGTATAATTTTATATACCATACTTAGATCGGACCGAAGGTGGTGTAGTTCTAGGTTTTCTAGGTCTAGAATTTCGAGTCTGGTGGCATAAGGTATTCTGCAACGAGTAGAGGAGTGGAGAACTCTTCTTGTGAAATATTTCTGGACTTTCTCAACTGTGTTAATATCAGATACATAATGAGAGTTCCAGACTGGTGATCTGTATTCAAGTATTGGTCTAGCAAATGTTTTGTATGCTCTCATTAGTAGTGTGGTATTACCAGAGAATAGCCACGTAGATTAGGTTAACAACTCTTAATGCCTTTTTGGCTATGTAGTTACAATGGGCTCTAGCACTTAGATCATTAGAGATGAGAACTCCAAGGTCCTTGACAGAGTTTGGATCATCAACAAGGTCTTGACTATTCAGCCTGTATTTTATTTTCTGATTATTATTTTTTTGCCAATATGTAAGACAGAACATTTATTTGTTGAGATTTGAAGTTGCCATTTGTTTGACCATTCTGATATACATAGTCGAGGTCTTTTTGAGGGGTAGCAATATTGTCTGTGGTATTGAATAGCTTTACATCATCAGCGAAGAGAACGCCGTTACTCTTAATATGATCACAGAGTTTATTCTCTATTCAAGGAGTCTCCAACTTGGTGACTTTAAGTCTTGTGCATTTCAAGTCCCAGAATTCCTAAGCCACCTAGTTGAAGAATTCTGGGAATTGAAATCCACCAGTGCTAAAGTTGCCATGTTTGGAGAGCCCCTGCTCTAATCTAAATATTGGAAGGAAAAAATATTTTTGAGAAATGCAATATTGTCTGAAACATCTATAGATGGACTTCTTCAGAACTTCTTCAGAACTGAAGAAGCCTTTTGGATGAGAAATTAAATGTCTTAAAGGAAAAACAAAGTCCAGTTGCCTTTTGAACAATCATGACGTGGATGACTGATAATCTCCATATACATGGAATATGATTAGTTTACTTTATTCTTTCTTGCTGTTTCTCTATAAAATTAATTTTTTGCCAAAAATAATTTTGTATTCTGTGAAATATTCTTTTGCTGATATATATGATCTGTTTCTCCATTGGTTACCTTCATAACACATTCATTCAAGTGTAGTCTAGCACTTAAAGGAACTCTAGTTACTCCTCTGTAGAAAGCTAAGCCTTGGTTATATTGTGAACTTAAATACTTCCCTACTTTTAGCTAAAGAAAATTTAACTAGCTGGACCCTCAAATGGGTTTACTCTCTCCTAGTTATGTTTTACAGAGACAAGAGAGAAAGAGAGAAAGAGATCCTGCTTATTTATGTTTTCTCAAATGTACATTTCATGAGTTATGATATTAATAGAAACCTAACACGGCAGCACTATAAACACTATAAGGTTTAAATATACAACTATTCAGAAATGTCAGGCAGGCAGTCATTCAGTCATTTCATTTCAATTAACCATCAAAACAGATATTTGAAAAAGAGTCACATTTAACACACTGACTATCAATGCAACTTAAAACACCTCCGAAATTGACAAGAATAGAACAAGTTATAAAATCACATAGCCATATAACTAAAATAATAAGCTTAAAAACGTTAGGCATAAAATTAATATGTAAGAGATTATGCAATTTGAATAAAGCAATTAAATGATTATTTGAAATAATAGAATAATAAATTGCAGTAGGTCTGTATAGACCCATTGTAATGCTAAAATAACTCTTAGCAACTATTAATGAAAATCAGACAGAAGCATGTATTCATTGACAGTAAGGATATGTTATAGGGTAATAACTAAATGGCTCCAAAATGGCTCCAAATGAAGACTGATGTTTGAAGAGGGGTTATGTGTATTTTACAGAACTACGGAAAAATATGGTAGTCATAGTAGTCATTCAAGTAGAATGATGTGAAAATATTTTTTAAATTCTTTTTATTTGAGATTAAAAAAACAACAGTGCAACCAAAGAACTTGATGAGTGGAAATAGCAGCTTTCAGGATAGAGGCACAATACAATATAACGCATTCCAGTGTTTCTGTTGTTCCACCACAATCCCTTGGATACAACCTCAGCTTGAAAGGGATGTTCTGGTATGTCCCTTATATGGCTGCTTTTTCAGTGGCATTGAATGCAGCCAAAGTGAAAGTTTTTTTAAATGTAGGAGGTGTTGCAACTGAGATATCTGGCTAAGTGAAGAAGTTAATGTGGATTGGCTAGAAAAAAGTTTCTGGGGAAAATTAACAAATCTGATTATAGCTCTAAGTCAATGGCACATCCTTTAAGTTTGAGCCATATACAGTACATTCATAGTCCATCAGAGTAAAAGCTGCTCTCAAAAATGCCATTCTACTTTTGCTTCCTGCTTTTTTGTTGCACAAGCTGGAGGGAAAAGATGTTTGACAAAATGTTACATTTGTGTTCTGTGTGCATTTGTGATGAATTCTTATGGACCAAAAGAATGCAATTGCCTAAAACTATGTCATCCATATATCTAGTTGATGCCCTTTTATGAAATGCAAAACATTGCAGCTAGAAGAACTCTGCATTTTAAAACCAGTAAAATCACAAGGATTTTATAAAAATTCAACATGCTTAGTATATACTCTATGATATCATGATTCTATGATTTTACATTAAGAAAATCAATGAAACAATTATAGCAAAAGATTTAAAATGCCACAATTCTGTAGATGGAATCTCTTTCACTCTTTTGGGTATTACATTTTAAATTACTGTATATACTCGAGTATAAGCCGAGTTTTTCAGGCCATTTTTTGTGCTGAAAAAATCCCCCTCGGCTTATACTCGAGTCAGATTCCCCTCTGAAAAAAAAATGGTGTGGAGTCGCTGCCGCCAGAGCGGCCCCAGTCCCGCCGCCTCGGGAAGGGAAAGGCAGGCGGCGGCGACTCCCAACAGCCCCAGCCGGGAAGGGAAAGGCAAAAAGCGCTTTGCCTTTCCCTTCCCGAGGCGACGTGAGATAGTGAGATCGTTTCCCAAATTAATTATTTTTATTTTTGAAATTTACCAGTAGCTGCTGCATTTCCCACCCTCGGCTTATACTCGAGTCAATAAGTTTTCCCAGTTTTTTGTGTGTAAAATTAGGTGCCTCGGCTTATATTCGGGTCGACTTATACTCGAGTATATACGGTACATTAACTTCTTCTTTGTAGTATTCAATAGAGATTTATTTAACTGAATCAAAGAATGTCATCATAATATATATATGTCATCATAATATATATATATATATATATATATATATATATATTTTCTTAAGTTTTCGCGGGTACTTACATGTATGGTGTTCGGCTTGGTTCGGGTATTTTCCCACGTCATTGTAGTTCTTTTAAAGTTGTAGCAACGTTTCAGCAGAATCTCATCTGCCATCATCAGGCTTCTGTATTGTGTCCGTCTGTATATATATATATATCCGTCCGTCCGTCTATATATATATATATCTTTGGTTATTCGGGTTTTCTCCCGCGTAAGATTGGAAGTATCTAGGCAACGTTTCGATGAAGTCTCATTCATCATCTTCAGGCTTGTGTCTTCAGCTCTGTGCTTCTCAGAGTGATGTGAGCTTGCAGCTGCTTCTTCCTTTTAACTGCTAGTGGGGGTGTGACTTGATTGGGTGGGGGCTTAACCTAGCCAAATTTCTCGCCAAACAACTACAGCCCTATGCAGAATCCATCAACTCACATGTAAGAAACTCATTCCAGTTCATCGAGATCATAAAGAAACAAAACTTACAACCCAGCGACCTACTAGTGAGCTTCGACGTCATATCCCTCTTCACCCAAGTGCCAATAAAAGAAGCCTTGACAGCCATCCAAAACAACTACAACCCCCCCAAGTACATCCTAGATCTGACCAACCACTGCCTATCCAATACATACTTCACCTACAACGGACAAAAATACAAACAAATAGAAGGAGCACCCATGGGATCACCCCTCTCACCTGTCATCGCAAACCTCTACATGGAACACTTTGAAACACAAGCTCTAGAAAAATATGATCACAAACCCAAACTCTGGCTCAGATACGTAGATGACACCTTCATAATCTGGCCACACGGGAAAGAAAAACTGAACAACTTCCTCACACACCTCAACAGCCTACACCCCAAAATACAATTCACCATGGAAACAGAAGCTAACAATCAACTTCCCTTCCTAGATGTCTTGGTATACAAAAAATCCAATGGCTCCCTAGGACACACCATCTACCAGAAGAAAACACATACAAACCGCTATCTACACGCACTCTCACACCACCACCCAGCACAGATCAATTCCATAGCCGAGACACTCATCTCCAGAACAAAATGCTTAGCCGACAAACAACACCCAAAAACTGAACTACACACGCTCACCAACGTACTAGCAGCCAATGGATTCCAAAGAAAGAAGATTACCCACCTAATCCAAAAAGAAACCCCAACCAAAATCCAAGACAGAGAACAAGAGAACGGCAAAGTCCTCCTCCTATATATAAAAGGCACTATAGACAAAATCAGCAAGATCCTCCAAAAACACAACATTAAAACAGCATTCTGCACAAACAGAAAAATATCCACCATCCTAAGAAACCCCAAAGACAAAATCGAGTTAGAAAACCAAGGAGTATACGAAAACCCTTGCACCGCCTGCCCCACCACATACATTGGACAAACTAACAGAAGAATAAGTGCACGCATTGAAGAACATAAGAACTCAATCAAAAAAGAAGAACCGACTTCTTCCCTGGTCCAACACCTCAAAGCCACAGGACATGAGATTGACTTTAAAAATACCAGAACTATCGCCAAAACCGAACACTTCAACAACAGAATAATCAGAGAAGCCATAGAGATAGAAAAA